GTGAAGGGGAAGGAGGAAAGCAATTCCGTAATTTCACCCCCTAAATGCGTTTCCACCTCCTCGCCCCCCTCGCCCACCACCCCTGCCACTGCGAGAATTCCCACCGCGCCCACCTTTCCGCCCTGGCACAGGGTTAAGAGCCGGCGCTCGAGCTTGCCCCATGACAGTGGGTCGTTGCATGAACGGGGTGTCCATGGGCCACGCAGATTCTATACCGAGCACCGCGTTCCGGTTAAGGCTAGGAAAGGGGAGGCCTTGCACAGCCGGCTGAAACGGCGGTTGCTGCGGCTGTTGCAAGAGTGGCATTGGCGTCGGTAGAACACCACCTACGTGCCCCATGGCAGGAAAAGGAAAAACGCCCTCTGGTGCGGGAGAAGGCGGTAAAACCATTTGCTGCCCCCAAGGCGGCTGCAGCCCTTGTTGACAAAGCCACTGCTGCTGTTGTTGTTGTTGCTGCTGCTGCTGATGGTGATGGTGATGTTGATGTTCGTGGTGGTGTTGTGGCTTATACTGCTGGTGTTGCTGTTGTTGCTTGTGCTGAGCCCTGCTGACACCTCCTTTCCTCGGGTAGCTATCACTGCTGTTGGCGTGGGATAAAACGTGGTGCTTGACTGGATCCGCAGGTTGCGTCAAGAGAGGCTCTTGGGTAACCCTCTCCACCACGTCGTCAAGTGCGTCTAAAAACGAGTGAACACGCTTTTGCTCCTGCAGAGGGATCTGTGGCTCCTGATATGATCCATCGAGGAAAGCTTTGCTGCCGTTGGGCGAGTCGAGGTTCAACGCCTCACGAAGTGAGTGAAACAGCTTACCCATTACTCCTTCAAGCGGCGAAGTTGTATGGCCTCCCATTGCGCATTGCTGCAGATACTGCTGATACTGTTCTTTGAATTTCGCTGACAACTCCACAGCCGTTTCTTGGCTTGCCTCGTCCACCGCTGCCAAGATGCAGCGACGCCCCATGTCGTAGAGCGCCTTCCAGTGTCCGACTCCCTCCAGTTTAAGAGGCTTGTTACTCTCCATCGCATCCCCCGCGCGTCCTTCACCTCCCCCGTGATCTGCCGGAGCTGCAGCCTTGAGGAAGGAGGCTACGCGAAAGTAACTTTCCCAGCGGCTGCGGTCATCAAAGAGGGGTATGAGGGGCTTCAGTTGCAGACTCTCCTCCCCCGCGCCACGGGACGCCAACTCCGCCAGAAACGCCTCCGTCTTTGAATCGGCAGGGGGTGGAATCACCGATAGCAAAGCCGCCGGCAATGGATGTTTGATGTAATTCGCCCTCCAAACCGACTCGGCGTACACACTGCGTCTCCAACATTCCATCAATTTTGCCACCTCCGGCAGCTTAAAGCACATCCGCAAAGATCCTCCCGCCTCGTCGGCGTTGCAGAGCTCAAAAGCCACTTCTTTCGAGGGAGAGGAGGAAATGGCGTCGGCGAGAACAGGAAGAAGAAACAAAGCCCTCCAAGGACAGGCGCCGTGGTGACCGGATACTTTCTCCTCTTCACTCAAATAAAGTGTGTAATGGGAGCGGATCTGAGAAGACGCCGTGGCTTCGTCCTCGCCACATACGACGGCAAACTGTGCCTGTACATTCTCCTGCTCATTCTCATTACTCGGTTGTTGTGGTGTCGCTTTTTCTGTTGCTTGCGCGGGGCGATCTAAACTAGTTGCCTTTGCGGGCAATAAAACCTCCTCCCTCTCGCGGCTTGTCTTGCCATCTCCCTCCGTGACTTCTTCCGCTGCCATTTGTCCCAGTGGTGGCGGTGGATCTTGAGCCGCATCAGCTGCCACCTTTTCAAAGGTTCGCTGGGGTCTCCCACCACAGAAATGGCATCGTATATCCGCAAAAAGTTGCTCCCACGCCTTGTGCTTCTCACCTGCGTCGCATGCGTTGTGGGTCCCTGTCTGCGACACGGTGTAGCCGAGGAGAGCGAGTACGAGAGAGACGGAGGGCGCAAGGTCCTCGCTTTCGTCGCCACTGTGCTCCTCGTTCTCCTCAGAGGAGCGTGTCCGCTTTAGGGCAAAAACAACCCGCAGTAGACTCATCGGTGCGCTGCCTGTCAGGCGAATTGAGGGCTGCGCCATTCCCGTACGCAGGCATTCCACTAGCGGCGAAATCAGTGCGCTGCGAATAAACGACGGTGGTGACCCTCTAGGGAGCAGCAGTTTCACGGCACTGGGCCCACCCCCAGGCGTGGGCGTTAGCCTCGCTCCCTGTGGGGAGGCGGAGATGGCATCCGTCACCAGAACGGCGGCACAGCGGTGACGAATAATAGACGTGCCGGTCAAGGAGAAGTGGGACGTCTTTAGCGTCTGCCACACGTACTCCCCTTGACGCCACCAGCAAGATGACAAGTGAAGATCGCGTAGAAGGCGATCGACGATGTTCCTTCCGTCTGGATCCGTTAATTCCCCCGTCGGGGCTTCACCCGTGTCCTTGGCGTTGTCTACAAGATCGGTCTTCTTCTCTACCTGAATGAGTGACGGGGATTGCAGTAATTGCAGAAGCAGCAGACGCTCCGGCTCTAAAAGAAGCCGAGAGCCTTGACAGCAGCGTGTGTGCAACTCAAGCGCCGTGGTGGACTCGCCGGGTTCTTGCGCCTTCAGAACTCCAGGAACGGCGTTCATCGCCGAAAGGAGAAACAACGCGTCCTCATTGTCTGCAAAAAATGCGCTGGCCACCGCGTCCTGACGCCACCCGCGGAAGCACGCAAAAACCTCCTCGGTGATGAACATGAAGGCGGAATTGAGTCGAATTCCCCTCTTCCTACCACCCGCATGTACCACCCCTTCACGGCGTGACGCACAAAAAAAAAAGCGGAAAAAAAAAGAAGAGGGGTGGAGGAAAAGTTTTAAGCACTTGTTTTTGCCGGTGATTGTATTCTCCTAGCGGAACCGGAGTAGCAGAAGAGATTGACGCGAGTTTGAGAGTCACGGCCACAAACAGTGGAGCTGGGCAGCGGGAGATACATACACAAGAGAGCCGCACACGTACACAATTTAGCTTTTCCTTTTCTCCCCCTCCTCCTGCGTTCTTGTTCTTCTTCTAGTCAATGACTCGTACACAGTTCTCGCTCCCCTGCTCCCAATCCCCCATCAACGCATTTGGCTTTTCTTCCCTCATTTGCTGTTTGACACACATGCGGAAATGCCCTCAACTACTCCCTGCGAGGAAATAAAGCGAGGAGGGGATGGGAAAATGCGCCAGAACGAAGAGCGAATAACGAACACACGCCACACCGGAAGGAGAACAGCGCATGCCTGTTTTATCCACGTTGCAAAAATCACTGTGCATAAAAGTGTAAGTGGCAGTGGGGTGGCGGCAGAGTTGCGCGTCATCACAGGAAACATTACAGGGCCCAGCTGCCGTCCAAACACACCAAAAGAAAAATACTATCCATAATAACAATAAAAGAAGAAACACCCCCCTCCCCCCCAAGAAGCGGGAAAGTGAAAGGACAGATTCCTGCCGTAGCAACCTGCAAGCAAGAAAAATAAAAGAAGACGCATCTAGAACCGCGCGCCCCGTTCTTTTTGCCTTCGGGAGTGATGTTTGGTACCGATTGGTGGGTGGGGCCCCAAAGAAGGCGTGTCTTCTATCCCATTCCCAGCCTGTCATCCTTTCCCCTACTTTTCTCCTTGCTGCGGTTGTAATGGCTTCCCCTCCTTCCCCCTTTGCCGCTCTTTTTTTCTTTTCTTTTTTCCATTCCCCTCTCTGCCTTTGGTTGCCGTTGATTCTTTGTTCTGAATTTTCGCCTGAGTCTGCTTTTTTATTTCTTCTTTTTTTTCTTGTTTGTCTCTTCAAATTCGGCTTTTCGCCGCGGCTGCGCCCCTCGTACATGTCCATTCTAGTGGATGCCCGAATCCCGCGAGCTGTGTGACGGCTGCCTTAACGCTTATTCCAGCCCTCGGAGTGCACGGAGCCCACTCGTGGATGCGAGTGCTCAGACCCCTGCGACGCTTGCCCTGAAAGGCGTCGAGACTATGGGGCAGTTTCTCCCTCCTCGCGGCGCTTGTCCAGGTTTTCCTGTACAGCGGCTTCATCGCCGCGCTGCGACTCTGTCCGCTTCAGTTCTTCCAATGGTGTTTTGGCTGCGTTTAGCTGTTGGCGGGACGATGCCGCGGAGGCGGACCCGTTAGAATTCTGCGTGCCGTGGCGCTGGTAGGCTCCCTTCGAGTTTATGTCAACGTCAACGTTGGCCGCCTGAGAGGCACCGTTGGCCGCCTGAGAGGCACCGTTGGCCGCCTGAGAGGTACCGTTGGCCGCCTGAGAGGTACCGTTGTTATTGTTGCGGTTGTTCGATACTGCGGCTGATGCCCTTTTCACCTCCTCCTTACGCATCGTGAGCAATGCGTTCTCCGACGGTGCGCCCTCAATGCCGTAGTGCTCCACGTTCAGCTGGCCAAGCAGGGTTTGTGCGTTGGTCGTGAGTGCAGCATTGCCAACATTCAGCTGTTGGCATACACGGACATCGCGCGTGTTGGAGAGCTCCGCGTGACGGATGCGGGTCTTTATCCCATTCACCAGCTTTTCATTTTTATGCTTATTATCCAAAAGCTCCGCCTGAAGCTTGGACTTTGCCTGGCGTAATTCCTTGATCTTCGCAAGCAGCTCACACTTCTTCGCCTTCGCCTCATCGGTGTATGCCTGCGTATCCCTGGTCTCCTTGTCCAGCTCTTCCTCCTTGGCCTTCGTTACACGGCTCAGGGCGTTCAGCTCTCCGTGCTCAACGCGTGGACCATTGCGCATGTCCTGCGCCCGCTTCGCTGTTCGTTCCTTTAGCAAGGCGATCTTCTTCAGCTCCCCCTCGCGCTTCGTCTGCAGGTCCTTGATGTAGGCAGCCACCTCGTCGTCGGAGTGGAGCCTGTCGGCTTCAGCGATACGCTCAATTTCATTTGGGAGAACTGTTTTCACGTAGTTATTGGCGCGATCGGCAAATTCCTCAAAGCGCTGCACGCGGGCAGCAACACGGTACAGGGAAGCGACCTCCCCGTTTCCCTCGACCTGCAGCAACAAGGCGTCTCCCTCATCCTTGTTGTGCTGGATCTCCTCAATCAGCCTCACACGATCCTCGCGTAGCACGTGTAGTTCGGGCAGCTCGCTGTCGCCCGACTCAGTCAGGAGGGATTGAATGCGTGAGGAAAGCGCCTCGTTGCGGGCACGGAGTTCAGCCTCCAGCTCCTCAAGACGTTTAACCGGATCAGCCGACATCTGCGCCTTGTGGTTTGAAGCTAAAAAAGTGTGTTTGCGCAAATACACGTATTTTTAGCACTCCCACGCAGTGTGAGTCTTCACTCCTTTTTCTTTTCTTCTTTTTTTGTAGCTTCTGGTGGTTTACGTTGTTGTTGTTGTTTTTGCTTGCCCCTTGCCTCTCCCTCTGCTTCCCTAGTTGCTCTTCGCTTGACAAATACGCTTGCGTTACCTGTGCACCCAAAGAGTTCGTGGAAAAGGCGAAGAGAAGGACTCCACGTCTCTCGCTACGCAACGACGTTGGCGGAGGTGCAGCTGCACGCACGCACCCGCCAGGGGAAGGCCGTCACTTCCGCCGTCAGACGCACCGGGGTCGGAGGGGCTGCCGGTGCACAATTCCCACGCGCACGACACCTCATGCCTGCAATGGGGCCCGAGCAGCGTCCCCCCGCAGCCCACAAGGGCCATCTTTTTGACGGGTAGAAAGACCTGCTGATACGCACCACAACAAGAAAAAAAAAAAAAAACAGGGCGGCAGACGCGACACGTGCTCATAACTCTGCCCACAGTCTCTGCCCCTTCCTTCCCTCTGCCGCCTTGCCTCCCGCTTCTTCTTGCGCACCCACTTTTTGCCCTGTGTGGAAAATAACAATAATAATGACGCTTTGCGTGGGTAAGTAAATTCACTTCCTCACGAGACGGCCGCTTTCTTTCACTTATTCCTCCAGTCAACCTCAATTTTGCGACGTCTGTTGCTGCAATGGATTTGCTTGCGCCTGCTGTTAACAGCGCACACCACTCCGCCGCTCTCTCCCTCTCTCTCTGTCTCTTTTTATTGCTCACCTTTGGTATATAACCGCGGCAGATGTGCCTTCAACCCCTCAAGGCGCGGACGAAGCTGAGGATGGCCACCGTGGAAATAAAAAAAAAAGACACATAATAAGTATGGTGTCACATTTTTAAAGGCAAAAACACAAGCTACTGTGAAGACACAACGAGAGTTATGAAACACTCTTCTACTTCCATAAACGAGGAAATTTCATTGCATGCTCCTTTACGTTCACACAGCTCTTTTTTTTTTGTCGCTCCCTTTCCTAGAAAAGCACTTTCCAACCAAACTCAGAACACGTATTTGAAGTTTCTTTCTTTGCTTCCTGCGTCTGTGTGTGCAGACTACAGATGGGAGGAGCAGCCACTCATTCTGGCAAATGCCTCCGCGGCGGCCCCAGCTACGGCCGACGCAAAGGTTGCCGGCTCTGCTGACGGCCCCAGCGCCTCACGCCTGGTTCCCCCAAGCGATGGAACCCGCAGCCTGTCCATCAGCCCCGTAAGAAACATGGCACTGCCGTCCTCCTCTCCGCCCACGTAAAGCAAATTTTTTAGCAGGCGATCATCCATCAATAAGCCCTGCCGTGGGGTTGTTTGCACCACCGCCGATGCAGAAATACGCGTGTGACGCCGACGCCGTTTTGCGGCGATCTCCACAGAAACAAATGGCAACCGCGGGAAAACAGTTAACTCGTAATCTGTGGTGTGGGGATTGTCACCGATCGCAACGGCCCTCGTGAGATTCACCACACCACGCAGCGACGATGCCTTGCCGCGCTGTTGCTGTCGCGGAACACCAGCGTGGCCGCTGAGAAGTGCTGGCCCGACAAGGTAGCGAATAGTCGTCGACTTTGAAATGCCCATCTTTGAGAAGACAACGCTATTTGGCTGCGGCATCGCCGTCACGCCGAGGCGGGCAAAGGCCTCAAAGTGGCGTTGAAAGAGGCACGTGAAAAGTCGAATAGGGAGGCCCAGAAAAATCACTTGCGCCACATCGCCATTCCTTTGCGGGCCGCAACCAGAAACTTGGTCGTGGTCGTCGTGGGAACACCGACTCCCGGGACAAAGCAGGAGAATCATCTCCCGCGCAAACCTTCGCGAGAGCTCAGAGTCGTCGTCGAGTGATCGCGACACACACTTCGACGTTAGCTGTGTGCTCTCCTCACTCGCGTTACGTTCCGTTGTTGCCAGCGGTAGTACCGGCGACTCCGCAAGCTCAACACGAATGATGCCTAGTTCCGTGAACAAGCATCGCCGCTGCCGCAGAAAATCGCACTTCCATGCGACAGCCTCGGCTGCGCTAGCTGAAGGCGGCCCATGGCGTCGGCACTGCGCCTCAAGGTACCCTAGCAGCAGACGCCACATCTCCTTATAGCGTGCCGAGAGGTGCTCAAGCGCCGCAAGAAAAACACGGTCACCTCCCAGCGTCTTCTCCAGAAGAGAAATAAAGATTTCCTCCAGTTGCGCCAGCAGAGCGCGAGAGGTGTCCACGGAGAAGCACGTTCCCTTCACACACTTCGTCAACAGCGGTCGGGTTGTGCCGTCAAGGCCAACCTTCGGCACGTATACCTGTTTCAGTGGCAAACCGTACAATTCAGCCAACTCCACCGCCTCACGCGTGGCGCAGTGCATCGCCTCGGTGTACTCGCGGACGACCTCCACATCATTTACCGTGCAACGGTATAGCAGGGCGCCTGTGTAAAGACTTAGTAACAGCTCTCCACTTCCATTCCGACCATCGGCATCCCTTAGAATAGAGCGAAGCGGCGCATACACCTGGTCAAAGACGCGCGTGTCGGCGGTCGTCACGATGCAGAGACTGCCTCCATTGAGAAGCCATCGCTTAATGACGGCGAAACATGGGCTTTCCTCCAGCGATTGATATTGTCCTTTAGCCTTGTGCGGGGTGCTCAGAAGCGTTCCGTCAAGGTCCGCCAGCAGCCACGCACCATTCAGCATGAGCCACAAACCTGGCCCTAGTTGCTTGTTTTCTTGTTGCTTTTGCTTCCCTCTCGCCTCACTCTGAGCGAGCGAGAGACTTCTGTGCGGCGACCCACCCAAGAAGAAAAACGGGCAGAGTTCCCCCCAAAGAGGGTTTGAAATGAGGCAAGTGGAGCGAGTCATAGCCATCGTGCGCAGTCATTGCGACCGTCAGAGGTAACGAAAAAGAGATGCGTTGAGTGGAACGCAGACAGAAGCACACAGCAGCACAAGTAGCGGTAAAACATAAGCGGTAATAGAGAGCAAAATTTTAGAAAAGCCCGACGAAGAATAGCAAGAACCTCAAGGCGGGAAAAGGAAAGCTAACAAAAAGAAAAAAAGCAGGTGGAAAGCGATAGGAAACGAAGACCTCACTAAGCAAATGAAATAGGGCCCTCAATGGCAATGCGGCACAGTTGACTGCTTCTGAGGTTCATTGTGGGCCAGGCATGCCACCTTGCGTCAGCCCTAGAACGGTGTCTACGAAAATGTTATTTTTTATTTTTATTTATTATTATTATTTTTTATTTATTTTTTTCTCGGGCACCACCCCCTTCATCGGGCAGCACTACAGACGCAGCACTCAAGAAAATAATAATAATAATAATAATAATAAGAGAAAACGCCTATGCCTTGGCGATTCTGCGCGGTTCCGGTGGATTCCCAACCTCCGACTCCGATCCCGTCAGATCGGTTTGACTCCCGATGTCAGGAACACTGCGCGACAGCCGTGCGAGGGTCAAACGCGAAAGTGACATTTCCGGTCTAATTGGGCGGGGCTGCCGCAAAGACGCTTTCGACGTTTGCGCGGCGCCCGAGAGCAGGAACAACACGGCACGGGGGTTTCATGCATGTCTTGTCGGCTCTGGCCAGAGAGGCGTGTGTGCGCCGACTGCTGCGTGTGCTGGCACGCGGTTCCACCGCTAAGGCAACGCGATAGCACGGAACAAAATTTATCCACTTTTCTATTCCACAACGCGGTTGCTAAATGCGATGGACGGCACGCCTCTCCCTCTTCATCCCGAACTCCTCGCGGGAAAGCGCGACAACAGGCGAAGCAACAGCCTATTTGGTTGTCTCCGTCAGTTCCGCAGCTCCGCCGTCCCCAATTTCAAAAGGAGAGCGGTCCCGCGAGCGCAAACAAGAGATTTACCGCGGCAAGAAGGAGTCTAACGACCTCAAACGCACAAGGGAGAGGCAGCAAAGGAAGTAACACAACAGTCAATTACCCAGAAACCCCCCAACAGCACAGTCAAGAGAAAAAAAAACATTGAGAAGAACTGTGATGCAAATCTTCATAAGGCACCCACATATTATGGATATCAGCAACCGCAAGAAACGGGTTACTGTGGGTGTTGGGGTCAGACGGAGACAGTCCAGTTTATTCGGTGGGGGTAGGCGGTGTGCATTTGGGGCGGCACACCAATTGGGGTCTACGACTTCCCTACCTGCGGTTCCCTTTCAGTGGCGTAACCACGCGCAATCCCATGGCGTCCTTCAAGTATTTCCCCCTGCACGGGTGTTTGTCCCTTTTTCGGATCCAATCCAACGAAGGTACGCTCGTGAAGACGAGCCAAGGCCCCATTAGCGCCCTGAGTGGCAACCACGCCAGCAGACGCACGAATCAAAGCGGCGCCACCCCCGCCTTCCATTGGCACCGCAACGGTGGAGGTATTCCTTTCAGCGCGCGCAACCTCCACTGCCTGCATGGCTTCGCGCAGAAGCGGAAGAACGGAGTCAAACGCCGTACTGTATACGGCCGGATGACCAAAGAGCGGTGCGTCACAGTCTTCCGTTCGCAGGGCAAGTAGAACCTCAATGGGAGACACAATTGGCTTTGAAAAATCATCCTCTTTGGTAGGGAAATGGCTCTCACGGCTATTCGGGCAGGCGATCGAGACAAAGCAGTCTACCGTGTCCACAAAATTAGCGATTTTGTACTTGTTTAGATGCCCAATATAAATAATGTACGCCCGCTTTCCATGGGCACGGAGAAGTCGATGGAGCAGCATTGTCGTTTCATAGTAACCCTCAATCGCCAAGGAAGCCACAACAATTCCCACCGCACTACTACAGCGGATCAATTCCATGTTGAACGCGCGTTGCCGCATCCGCTTGCTCAACGTTGCTTGAATCGCAGCGAGTTTGCTGTCGTTACGGTTCAAGTGGGCCTCCACTGCGGCGTCCGTCGTCCGCAGGTCATCGTCATCACCATTGCCCAGTGCCGCATCCTTTGGACCTCCTTCAGCACCGCAACCGAAGTCCTCATCAAGTATTGCGAGCGCAGGCGAGTTCTCAGCATCAAACGCCGCTTCCCGCAACTCCTCTGGGTGGTGAAAGAGGTTGTACTGGTGAACATTAAGAAGATGAAGCGGCAATAACGCGCTGGAGGCGCCAACAAACAGAAAGCGTTGGATTATTTTTGGGCCGGCACGAGAGAAACGCACACCGTTGATAATCCATGAGGGTCCTGCAGAAGAAGAAGAAGGCACGGACGCGTCCGGTATGTGGGTCGCCGCCGAAACAGGGTCGAATCTGCACCACTCAACTAACACTTTGCTGTCGGTGGATGTTGCTGTCTGGGCCTCACTTACCCAAAGACGTGCGGCAGCATCCACAATACCCCGCGAGCGATGACTCCCAACAACGACCAAAGAAACAACTGCAGAAATCCCTTTTCCCTCCAACGCGTGGCACATCCCCTTCAAGCGACGCCGCAGTACTCTCACTGCAGAAAGCAGAATACGCACTGAGAGCACTCTCGCTTCCTCCTGTGGGTATGCTGAAAGAGCGGCAAACCGGAACTCGTCCTGCACATAAAAGACTGGAATACGTGTGGACCGACTCATGCATGCATCTCCAAAGTGAATGATGCAGTCGCTGCCGTAGTGCTGCGCAGTAATCTCATCCGGACAACAGGATCCAAAGGTGTTATCAGCCACGACAAAAAGACGTACTTTTTTGTCATTCACCATTACCGCCTCAGTTGTTACGCGGTCTCTCTCAACTCCATGGGTGGAGATTTCCACACCACCGGCGCAGCCCTGGTTTTCGGACAAGAGGCCTTTCAGTATCTCCGTCACAGCAATGGCGTCCTCAAGTAGCTCATCGGGAAATTGCAGTGCAACGCGTTGAAACGGCGTTGATTCGGCAGATGAAGCAGAGGCCCCAGCGAGAATGAACGCTGCGACCTCGTCGAGTTTGTAGTGACTACGAACCGCAGGGCGCTGCCGTTGACGCCGCCGCACCGTCACAGCTGGAGTTGGTGTGATATCGTGGTACATCTATCGATGTGGTTGTGTGTATGTGTGTGTGCGTGTGTGATTGTGTGCCACTGGATCCTCTTTTTCCTTGCGAGTCGTTTCCTTTTTCCTTCGCTTTACTTGTTAGACACTCCTCCGCGCGATTGCCTTCTGCGGATGCGCCTCTCCGCCCGCATGCGCATCCGTTCGTCCGAGAACCGAGGCAGAAGAGTCAGAACGTTACGGCAAGGGGCGTCAATGTGGCGAGTGAAACTGCTCATTTCTTTTTCTTTTTTTAAGACAAACATTTTTTTGTGTGCGCGTGGGAGTTACCCCCACGCGCAAGCCGCACGTGCCAAAAACGCCTCCACTCATGACCTTCTCTTTTCTTTTCGTTTTCCTCCTGCCTTCATTGGGGCCTGTTTCCCTACACTCTCCCCCTCCTTTTTTTTCTTCTTTACCCTTTTAAACGGCGCGTCCCGCCGGCGTCTCGCTGTTATTACTTCGAAGAAAGCGCAAAGGGCGGCAGAGCGAACGCGGCACTACAGCTCCACATCCTCGTCCTCGCCATGGTCAGAGGTGTTGATTTTGTCGTAACGCGCGCGCCGCCGGCCGGTTCCCTCTCGCCTGCCCCATGAGAGGTGAAACGTTGGTAGACCCTCCCACTGCAGGCCACTCGCGAGGGAGTCCACCACCTGTGGGCCACAGAGCCCGTCCACCGCAGCCACGGTGCGCTGCGCGGTGTTGTCCTCCTCGGCCGCCGTTGTCAGCGTCTCGCGGTGAAAGAGGTCGGAGGTGGGCGGCAGCGTATAGTACGCAATGCGGCCGTCGTTCCAGTCCTGCAAAATCATGCGTGCGGTGCCTTCCTCGTCAATCGTCCCTCCTTGACGCAACCTTCCGCGTCGTTGCCCGACGAGGCGTACAAACTCAATGGTGTCACCCGTGTCAAAGGTGCCAATATTGTAAAAGAGGGCCAAGGGGTGAATACCTGCCGCAAGAAGCTGCCGGCTGTGTTCGTCGTCCGTGTCCACCTGTGTGCAACGCTGAATAAGCCGCTGCACAGGTGTGAAGGGATCAGAAAGGTTGCTAACCTTTACGGCGTTGCGCAGCACTACATCACCGTTGTCCTCACCAGGAGACACGACACCGGGGCAGTCCATCACACGAATATCCGAGCGCAACTCCACCTCCGTGTTGCCCGTTGTAAACCCTGGCATGTTACCAACCCCAACCACGTGTTTCTGCTTGAGAGCATTAATAATGGAACTCTTCCCCACGTTTGGGTAACCAATCACACCCACCACAATAGACTTCCGCGCCCCGGTCTCTTCGTTTAATGCCAATGCACGTAAACGACGGAACATGTTCGCAACATAGCTGTGGCCAAGTGTGCCTTTTGCGGTCGCCGTGAAGGGAATGCATGCCACACCTTCGTGTGACTCAAAGAAGTTGATCCAACTGTCCACTACTTCCTTTGAAGGCAACAAGTCTACTTTGTTGAGAACCACGACCATCTTTTTCCTTTCATCACCGAACTGAGAACGAATAGCCCTTTCCAACAGGGTCAGACGGCACCCAAGTGGGTCACGGGCATCCACCACCTGAAGCAGCACATCGCTGTTTTCAACCACTTTTTGAAACTCCTTGTAAAAGCGCCGAAGGGACTTGTCCATGCCCCGTCGATCCACGTCATCGTACATGCGATCTTCCCCGCCTGTTTCCTCCATCCACTGCTGGGGCACCTCGTATTGGTGTGCCTTTTCTGCGCACTGAAGGGCAAGCGTTCGCATGGCCCGTCGCTCTGCAGCCACGCGCTCCTCCCCAGTTTGGGGAGGCCCGCCGGACCCCGAAGCAAACTCGGCAACTCTTGAGGAAATGTTGGCCGCCCCACGCACTGCGGGAATGCTAAAAACACTGCGGTTACGGTTCTGCGCTGTACGCGTTAATTTTTGTGCCACTTTCTTAAGGTCGGGCACTCCGGGATCCTTGGTTAGCCTCTTTCTTTGCTCAGGTGGTCGGTAGCGCCCACCGCCGCCGCCACCCTTCCCATGCTTCTTCGAATGCCCACCCATTTGGCCCTGCGCAGGCAGCAGTGCTGCAGAGGAGGAAAACCCCGAAGTAAAAAAGAAAAAAAAGACGAAACAAAGGCAAAAAAAAAGGGACACTTCCGACATAATTGAACTGACGGTGCGTCCAGGTAGTGAACACAAAAGGCATGGAAAAGGAGGAAGTGAGGGGCGGGCGAGCGAGCGAAGCTGCAAATACGCCATGTAAAAGCGGTTTCCTTAGCGATGAGGGCACTGCGTTGGCACTCAAACGGAGGGAAACTTGAGGGCATCCGGCAATAAAAAAGAACGAGGAAAGAGTTGAGGACGGATTCGGTTGGTGTTGGGGAGTACACGCGTATGCGACATTCCCAATCTCGTCAACGTCTTCTTTGAAGGCTCCCATTTCCAAAGTCCCACTTCATTCCAGCTCCTGCGCCGGAGGCCGGCTCCCCTTCTCTCAACGAATTTCACGCTGTGTCTTGTGATAACAGTATTCTTGATATGGTTAATAGCAATAATAATAATAATAATAATAGTAATAGTAATAATAGTGAAAAACAGAAAAAAAAACATAAAAGCACCGTTTCTTCTTTTCCTTAAGTTCGTGTCCCTCAGCGGAGAGCAGTCTCATGCATGTTGCCCGTTTGTGTTCCTCGTTGTTCCCGCTGACACGCCGTCCGCTTCAATGCTTCACCCTCTTTCATGTCTTTTTTTTCTCATTGCTTTTCATCGCCTTTCGTCGGTACCGTCGGTGGTGTCGTCGCGGGTAGAAAGGAGAGAGGGGAGGACAAAAAGAAAAACAAGAAAAAGAAAATTAAAAAAAATAGCAGCACCAACAATAAAAGCACCACGTCAACTTTCTTCAGCATCTCTGCGGTAGTGCAAGCGTAGGTCTGTGTGCGGGTGGGTGCCTTCCCTCCCAAATTACTTGTCCGCCGTCGGTTCCGGCACATTCTCCACCATGCGGGCCATGATGTTGTTCAAACGCGCGACGATTGAGCGCGGATCCTCCAGCAGCCCTGCAGAGATGACGGCGTTGTCGAAGATTTGCTCCACAAGCAGCCCAGCCGTCTCCACCTCCTCCGCGGCGGGCGAGATGGACAGCGTGTACAACTTCCGCACGACGGGATGCTTCGGGTTGAATTGGAGGTTGTACTTCGGAGGAGGACCCGCCATCTGTCCAGTGACGCGGTAAATCTTCCTCATCTGTGCCGACTCGTGATCCGCAATGACGGCAGGACTGTCACGCAGACGGGTTGTAGACTTCACAACGCCTACACGACCAACAAGACGTTTTGCAATGAAGTCGCTTAGCGCCTTGACCTGCGCCTCCGTCAACTGCTTCTCAACCTTCACGTCTTCCTTGTCGCCTTCCAGCTTCTTCTTGTGCTGCACACTTCCGTCAAGGGAGGCGTCGAACATCTCAATGTTTTGGAGCTTGTGTTTTGCGTAGGTGTCCAAGTGCTGCATCACAAAGTCATCAATGGGCTCAGTGCAGATGAGCACCTCGAGCTCGTGCTCCTTGTACTGCTCATAGTACGGCGACTGCAGTGCCATTTCCTTCGTGGGGGCGTTGATGTAGTAAATGTGGGTCTGATTTGCCAACATGCGATCCCGGTACTCGTCAAGGGAGACAAGAGGGTAATCGATGTCTGATTTTGTAGTTTCAAAGCGCAACAGCTTTGCCAACTCCATCTTATGCACCTGATCTGTGCAGACGCCCTCCTTTAGGAAGGGCCCATACTCCTGAATGAAGCGCTCATACTTTTGTCGATCCTGCTTCGCCTCCTCCCCCAACCAACGAATGATGCGCTTGGTGAGCACCGTCGACAAACGCCGCATCATGCTTCCATCCTGCGTGTGCTCACGCGAGACGTTGAGGGGAATGGACTCGGAGTCCACCGCACCCTTAATAAAGCGCAGCCACTCCGGAAGTAGCCCCTTTGCCTTGGATTGAATGAGCACCCGACGGCTGTAAAGGTTGACGCCGCTCTCCATACGACCACCACCGTACTTCTCAGTGTGAGACTGTGGAACGTACAGTAAGGCGCGGATGGAAAGGGGGGCATCGACGGCATAGTGCAGACGAAACATGGGGCTGTCGTACGCACCCGAGATGAATTTGTAGAAATCGATATGCTCTTCATTGGAGATGGAGTTTCTCTCCTTCATCCAAAGCGCCTCCACCGTATTCACCTTCCCCCCGTTAAGCGTGATCTCATACGAAACAAAGTTGCTGTACTTTTTCAGAACTCGTTCGCACACCTGAGGGGTGCAAAAGGAGAGCTCCGTGTCCTTAATGTCGAGAACAATCTTCGTCCCCTTCTCCACCCCCTCGCACTCAGCGATCGTGAAGGTGCCTGTGCCATCCGACTCCCACAGATAGCCCTTGCTGCCCTTCTTCGCACTACGGCTGTAGACCTTGACATGCTTCGCCACCATAAAAGAGGCGTAGAAGCCAACGCCAAATTGACCAATGATCTTTTCGGCCGCCTGAACACCGGAAGCAGCGTTCTGCAGCTGGCGCACAAATTCCTTGGATCCAGAACCCGCGATAGTACCAAGGTTCTCTGCAAGTTCCTCCTTCGTCATACCGACACCTGTGTCGCGAATCACAAAACGACTCTTGCTCTGGTTGCAGGAAATAGCAATGAGGGGGGCTTCATCGGTCTCATCACGCGGGTACTCCTCCGGCTTGCTGATCTCCAACAAATGGCGCTTCTCCAGAGCATCACTGGCGTTTGACACCAACTCCCGAATGAACACCTCCTTCTCAGTGTACAAACTGCAGGCAACAATATCCAGCAGTTGCCGTGTCTCAGTCTTGAATCCCATTACCTCCGATTCCCCAACTACGTGCTCGGTATCTTCGTTAGGCTTCGTCGACGCTGCGGAAGCCCCATCAACGCCAGTGGACCTATCATTTCCCACAGGCGATGGATCAATGACAACGTCTTCGTCGGTGATGTCGGCCGGCTTTTTCGACGCTGAGTCACTCGAGGTGGAGCAAAACCGCATGGAAGTGATCAGGGCCGAAGAAGAGAGTTTATTACCGCCGCTGTAGTTGCCACGGGCAGCGGAGAGAGTAATGATAGCCGCGGCGAAAGCTGCGCGGCCTGAGGAGGTGCTTTGGCTGAGAGCATCCCGGCAGAGCCGTTGATAGACGCGACGCATGCTTAACAGTTTTTATACCCAATGTTTTTCTTTTAATTATTTCCCCTTTCTTTGTTATGCCTGGTCTGTGTTGTTGTTGTTTTTTTTGCTGGTTTTTCGTTCTAGAGACGCTGCGTGCGTGCCCTTGTCGCTTTCCTGCAGGCGGTCCGGGGGAAGACCGCGTCGTGTGCCGGAGAGGGGAGAGAAGTCAACGAAACGAGTTCAAAAAAAGGAGGGCATGTCAACGGCGGGGCATAAACCGCGCGCAAAAACACTCCGAGGTAGAGGCGACAAGAATGGGGCAAAACTACAACAAAAAAAACATGCATACACATAAGAAGAGGATGGAGACAAAAAAAAAAGGAACCTGAAGGAAAGGAAACAACCACCAATTTATCCAACTT